CAATGAAACTACAGTCTCGTAGGGAACCATGAAGAGGAAACTGAGAGCAAGGGCTCATACATCCTCATTGATGCACTTTGGACTCCCACTGGTCCTCCTCCTCATCATCATCCTCTCCCTCTTCCTCCTCCTCCTCATCGTCCTCCTCCTCCTCTTCCTACTCCTCCTCCCCCTTTTCATCCTCATCATCGTCCTCCTCGACCACTCCCCAGGGCCTCGTCCATTTTCGCCAGCATGCCCGCCACCACGAGCACCGCCGTCGGGACGGGAGTCAGCGGGTTGACCTGCGGCTCCTCCCTTCTCCCTCCCTCCTCCCTCCTCCCTTCTCCCTCCTCCCTCCTTCCTCCCTCCTCCCTCCTCCCTCCTCCCTCCTCCCCCCTTCCTCCTCCCTCCTCCCTCCTCCCTCCTCCTTCCTCCCTCATCCCTCATCCCTCCCTCCCTCCATCCCCATCCCCCTCCTGCCCTCCTCCCTCCTCCTTCCTAAAACCCTTCTCCCTCCCCCTCTCTTCTCCTCCCTCATCTCTCACGCCCTCCCCTCCTCCTCCCTCCGCTTCCCCCTCCTTCTTTCCTGCCTCCCTCGCGCTCCTCCCTCCTCTGTCCTCCCTCCTCCTCCTCATTCCTCCCTCCTCCATCCTCCCTCCTCCCCCCCTCCCTCCTCCCTCCTCCTCCCTCCTCCCTCCTCCCTCCTCCCCCTCCTCGTCTTCTTATTATCCGTGTTACTAGTCTGATTCGTTTTATTCGCATTCGCAATATGATTGTTTGGAATTGACTATGTTATGATCATTAATAATATGTAGCATTGCTGTTGTTATCATTAATATGAATGATAGTAGTATGATTCCTTTTAGTATGAGTAATATTGTTACCAGTCGTATGATTCGTGTTGGTACTAATATCGTGCAGTATTACTGAAAAATGACTATGTCTCTTAGTATTATCCGTATTAGTAGTAGGTGTTCGTCCTAGCTGTAGTCTTAATACTCGTTTTATTACTACTATTATTATTATTAAGATTAACATGTTCCTTAGTCTTAGTAGTATGATTATTCTTATGTGTGCTAACAGTATCACTATTACTACTAAAATCATTACGCTTAGTCGTAGTATTCTTCTTAGTGCTATTACTGCCCGTCTTAGTCGTCGGTTTCCCTTTATTCGTCTTCTGTTTCTTCTTAGTATTGGTAAACTTCTGACTCGTATTGGTATTTTCATTACTATTACTATGGTTATGGATTATTCACATTGGTCTTATCATTATGTTTATTATTCCTGATACCAGTATTAGTATTATTACTACTCTTACCAGTAGCTTTCGTATTGTTAGTCTTCTTATTATTAATTGTATTCCTCCTCCTCCTGCTCCTCCTCATCCATGCTCCTCCTCATTCTCCTCCTTCTCCTCCTCCCTGCTCCTCCTCCTCCTCCTCCTCTTCCTCCTCCTTCTCCTCCCCCTCCCCCTCCCCCTCCTCCTCCTCCTCCTCCTCCTCCTCCTCCTTCTCATTGCATCGACCCTGCGGTGCGACGTCACACAACAGATTGTTCCAACATCGAGTATGATCGACCCGTGAGGGTCCCAGAGCCAGAAACAAGGCAGCATCGCCCGAGGTAGAAAAAGGAGGCGCCAGGATTCCACTGTGTTTGGTTAGCTGGAGTAGACAGCAAGGAGGAGGAGGAGGAGGAGGAGGAGGGGGAGGAAGAAGGCCTGAATGAAGATCAGGCCCAGCGCGCCCCAACTCTTCGCCCACTCCTCGCTGGATGGGGCCGGGCGCCGAGGCGGTGCGATCAGGCTCACGCGCGCGCATCCCCATGCAGCCATCATCTTGCCGCCCGCCTCGTCCAGCCCCCCAGCCTTCCCATCGCTCTTCCTCCTCTTCCTCCCTCCTCCTCTCTCGCCCCTCGTCCACACCCCCTCCCCTCCCCCGTCTTCCCATATTCTCCCACCTCCCTCCCCCTTCTTGCCTCCTGTTATCCCTCATTCCTCAGCCTGGCCGCTTCCTCCACGATTGACCACATGAATAATATCAGTCTCCTCTCGCCCCCGAGGACGTGTTGAGAATATCGCACCCCCTCCGCGTTCTGGTCGTTGCATACAGGATTCAGGAAAACATGAAATTTCGTGGGCTCCATTTCCGTGTATTCGGTCCTTCAATGTGGTGTTCCAGCTGCAGCACTGGCCTTAATTCTGGGTGTTCGGTCTTTCTCAGTGGCGCTCCCGCTGTAGCGGTGGCCTGTTTCCACCTCTTCAGTCATTAGGCGTAGGGTTCCCGCTGCAGCGTTTTGTCTCGTTTCCGCGTGTCTTTCTCAAAGGTGCTCCTCCTCCTCCTCCCCCTCCTCCTCCCCATCCTCCTTATCCTCCCCATCCTCCTTATCATCCTCCTCCTCCTCCTCCTCCTCCTCCTCCTCCTCCTCTCCTCCTCCTCCTCCTCCTCCTCCTCCTCCTCCTCCATCTCGCCCCGCATCCCTCCTCCCTCTCTCCCCATCCATTCCGTATCCTCCTCCTCCTCCTCCTTCCTCCCCTCCTCCTCCTCCTCCTACTCCTCCTCCTCCTCATCTCCCCCTTCCTCCTCCCTCCTCCTCCCTTCCTCTCCCTCCGCCTCTCCTCCTCCTCCTCTCCTCCTCCTCCTCTCCTCCTCCCTCCTCCTACCTGCCTACTCCTCCTCCTCCTCCTCCTCCTCCTGGTAGGCCCCCACAGCAAGCCGGCACCTTCCTGGGCGGGACATTGAAGATCGGGCCCCCATCGGCGATTAACCAGACGCATTAGGTCTCGATGCATTCCTCCGAGCCTGTCCCCCCCCCCCCGGCGTTGCCCCCCTCGCGCGCTCCGACCGCGCCCGCCCGATCGCCCCACCCGAGAGCGGCACGGCAGGTTCGTGTCGTGAGGAGTTCGGCGTTGGCTTCTGACACCGCGCGGACCGTTCAGCCCTGAGCGACCGGCGGCTCTCCGATCGCCAGATCGCGCTACACTGGCTGGGCCGATGGCGGCTTTTCGATCGCCACACCGTTCCGTCTTGGCCGATTCTGGGGCGACTGGCGGCGGACCACCTTGAGTGCGCACGGCGGGGTCGCCGCCGCTCCGTCGCGACGCGAACCTGCCGTCACCCCCCCCACACCCCGTCCCTGGCGCGCGGCGCGCGCCAGGGACGGCGCCAGGGGAGCCGCCGGGGAGGCCCAGCGCCGATCCAGAGGACCCGCGCAAAACCCCCCCGCGGGCTCCTGCCCCTTCTCGGCGGCGCGCGCGCGCGCGCCCGCGGGGAAGGCTCCGAGGGCGGGGCGCCTTCGCAGAGGGTTCCGAGGGGCCCCCTGCCCTGCGAGCATCTTCCGCCCTCGCCGAAGCCGCCGAGGGCTCCTCGGCAGGCGTGCCCCCCCTCGGTTCCCCCGCGGGGCGCGCCGCCGATGCTCCTCGACTGCATCGAATCCCGTCGGTGCTCCCGGGAGCGTGTGCTGGCGCCAGCGTGTGCTTGTCCGCCGAAGCCCTGCAGCCCGACGCAGGCAGTGGAATAGGGGCCGACGCGAGCTGCGCGCTGTCGGCGGAGCCGAACGGTGCAAACACACACGCAGACACACACACACACACATACCGCACACACACACACACACGCACACACACCCCACGCCGCACGCACGCACACGCACTGCACAAGCACGCACGCACGCACGGCACGCACGCCACACACACACACACACATACACACACACACCACACACACACACACAACGCACACGCCACACCGCACGCACTGCACGCCCACGACAGAGATACACACGCACGCACACACACATACCCACACACACCCACACCCACACCGGACGCACGGCCCGTCACTCACGCACGCACACCACAGACACAGACACAGAACACACGACACGACACACTAGACACAAACACACGACCACGACACAGCACACACACACCACACACACGAAACACGCCACTCACACGCCACGCCGACGCACAGCACTAACGCACACCCACCTCACTTCAACGCACACACAGAGAATACACACACGCACTCACACACACTCGCACGCACGCACGCACGCAACGCCTGCGTACGCACGCACCACGCACACACACACACACTACACATACACACACACCACACACGCACACACACAAGACACACACTCACTCACGCACTCATTCATTCACGCCGTCACCAACGCACTCGCCTGCACACACAGAGATCATACAACGCACGCACACACACGCACGCACGCCGCCGCACTCCCCCCACACGTACCCGGACCTAACCACACACCACACACACACACACGCACGCACTTCACGCACTCCACACGCCGCGCCCGCGCACGCACACACACACACACAACAAACACACACACACAGATAACACACTCACGCACAGCACGCACGGCCAGCACGGGCGCACGCACACGTACACGCACACACACACACACACACATACACACACACACACACACACACACACACACACGCGCACACACATGTTTTGCGTGGGCGGCTGGGCAGAGGTTACTGCTCCAGCGATGTAGCATTCACACACACACACACACACACACACTGGCACACACACACGCATACACACACTCTCTCACACACACACGTGCACACATATGCATAACGAAAACGCAAGCACACACACACACACACACACACGGACACGCACACAGAGACACACACACACATACACCCACCCAACCACCCACCCACCCACCCACCCACCCACACACACACACACACGCGTATACTTTTTGGCGTCGCGGCTCTGCGCGCAGCGACAGGGCGGAAGAGGTGGAAAAGCAGCAAGCAAGCAAGCAAGCAAACAGGCAAGCGGGCAAATGCGCCCGAGCCCTCAGAGACCGCGTAGAACACAGACACACACACACACACACACACACACACACACACACACACGCGCACACACACGCACACGCACACACACACGCACACTCTCACTCTCTCACACACACACACTGGGCTAAGACGCCTTCTGAGGATCATCGATCCCAGGCCCCACCTGCAGCGAGGCGTTGGGCGCCTGGCCAGCCGCGAGGGGGGCGTCGCCACGGGGCGGAGCGCTGCGCGTCTCCTGCGCCTGCGCCAGGAACTTCGAGTCTTTTGCCCCAGTCCTCTCCAGGAGGGCGTCCGCGCCGGAGGTCTTCATAACCTGGAGGCGCATCAAAACAAGACGAGGGCATACATAGCGAGCAGAACAAAAACACCTTCATCAGAAGCACTCCAACATGCAAAGGCGTCCGGTAGACGCAACCAAAAAAGGAATCGAACAGGATTGGTCTGTGTAGTAAACGCCCAAAGTCGTTGAACTAACGCCAACTATTGGGGTCGGAATGAGCAGCCTCTCGGAGGTCCGCGCGAATTTCTGGGACCAGCGCTAGGCCCTCGGCCCTCCTGGCGGCACCTCTGTCACCGCCCCTGGTGCGCTCCGGGCGCCAGCAAGGGGGGCAAAGCGCCGATCCGATAAACCCGCGCGGACCCGCGAAAAATTATGGCTGTGCAGTTCGTTCCTCGTCGGCGGCCTGGATGTACATGATCGCGGCAATCGAGGCGCCAGCGGTGAGGCAGAGGGGGGCCACGATCACGCCCACCTTCCCGTTGGACATGCCAACAACCGTGAACAACACTGCCTGCACGATGCCCACGCACCAAATAAAGACGCCACCAGTCAGGGTGTTCAGCATGCTCACCCCAATAAGCAGAATCGGCATCCACCACTTGACCCCATACCTGGAGGCGCTGATGGCCCACTCGACCACCTCTTCCTTGTACGACGGCATTAGCCTGGGGTCGAGAAGAGGAAGAAAAAACAAAACGACGACGTCGACGGCGCCGACGTCGGCACGGACGACAACGACGACCGCACACCCCTCGGCGATGGCGGCGCCGACGACGGCGGCGGCGACGGCGGTGACCCCTGAGATCCGACGAGGCGAATGAATGTGGCACTTCTCGAGGAAGTGGCCCCAGGGCCCCAAACAGGGCAAGATCGCCCGCTGCGCAGAGAAATGCAACGCCGGGATCTCGGGGACGACGTCGGCGGCGGCGGCGACGGCGGCGACGGCGACGACGGCGGCAGCGGCGACGGAGGAGGCGGCGGCGGCGGCGGCGGGAGCGCCTGCTCGGGCGGCGGCGGCGGGCGCCTGCCTCCCCCGAGCAGGCGCGCGGCGCGCGGGCGCGTGCCGCCGCGAGAGGGGCGCAAAGGGGCCCGCGGCCCCTCGGGCCGAGAGGACGGCGCGGGTTGAAAGCGGCACGGCCGCGCTCGTCATCGCCTCCTGCTGCTGCTCGTCATCGCAACCACCGCCGTCGTCGTCACAGCCATCATCATTGTGTGAATCATCCTCATCCTCATCCTCATCCTCATCATCCTCATCATCATCATCATCATCATCATCATCATCATCATCATCATCATCATCATCATCATCATCATCATCATCATCATCATCATCATCATCATCATCATCATCATCATCATCATCATCATCATCATCATCATCATCATCATCATCATCTTTATCCTGATCCTCATCATCATCCTCAACCTCCTCCTCCTCCTCCTCCTCCTCCTCATCATCATCATCATCATCATCATCAGCATCAGCATCAGCATCAGCATCAGCATCATCATCATCATCATCATCATCATCAACCATCATCTCATCATCATCATCATCATCATCATCATCATCATCATCTTTATCTATCCTCAGATCAATCATCCTCAAGCTCCTCCTCCTCCTCCTCCTCCCCTCATTCAGCGTCAATCATCATTAGTCGTATCAGCATCAGGCATCGCATGATCATCATCATCATCATCATCATCATCATCATCATCATCATATCATCCCATCATCATCATTCAAATATCTGAATATCATCATCATGCCTCATCAGCATCCAGATAAACAAATGAAATCACAACATATCACACAAAAACGAGCAAAAAACCAGCATCAAACAAAGAAAACATCAACAAAAACACAAAAGAAATCAAAAATATCAAGAAGCACACAAACAACAAAACGCAAACAAGCAAAAAAAAAGCATCAGCATCAGCATCATCATCACAACCGCAATCAACATCATCATCACCATCATCATCATCATCATCATCATCATCACCATCATCACCATCATCATCTGCATCTGCATCACCATCATCATCATGCAGCATCATCATCATCCTCGTCGGCGTCGTCGGCGTCATCATCATCGGCATCATCATCATCATCATCATCATCATCATCATCATCATCATCATCATCATCATCAACATCCTCATCGTCATCGTCCTTCTCCTCATCTTCACCCTCATCCTCATCCTCCTCCTAATCATCATCATCATCCTCATCATCAGCCTCATCCTCTTCGGCAGCAACAGCAGAAGCATCAGCACAGTCATCATCATCAGCATCGTCATCATCAGCATCGTCATCATCAACAGTATCAGCATCATCAACATGATGAGTATCATCCTTCTTCTCCTCCTCAGCATCATTATCAGCATCATCATCAACATCATCATCATCGTCGTCATCATTATCATCAGCATCACCATTAGCATCAACATCGTCCTCACCATCGTCATTACCATCAGCATCATCATCATCAGCAGGAGCAGCATCATCATCATCATCATCATCAGCATCAGCATCATCATCATAATCATCAGTATCATCATCAGCATCATCATCGTCATCATCATATTTATCATCAGCTTCATCAGCATCAGCATCATCAGCATCGTCATCATCAGCATCATCATCTGCATCATCATAATGATCAGACTGATGATGATCAGCATCAGCAGCATCATCGCCGTCTCCTTCATTTGTTTATATATATATATATATATAGATCATAACGACCATCCTCTGCAGCAGCATCAACACGATCAGGATCAGCATCAACAACATCAACCTTACCTCTTTGCACATAATCAGCATCATCAGCATCACAAATAATACATCGATCGAGCTTTCAATCAACCATCTATCCAGAACGAAGCATCCTCATCACCACCAACATCATCACTTCAGTCGTCCTAATCGTAAGTACCACCACAACTTCCATCATCATCGTCATCATCTTCGTCAGTATCGTCATCATCGGCGTCATCGTCATCATTATCACCATCGTCCCCATCCTCATCATCACCACCATCATTATCATCATCCTCATCATCGCTATCATACTCAACGTCTGCAACGGCATTGAAGAAACGAGCCTGAGTTGTCCGGCTGCCAGGTCTGATGTAGTCAAACCACCGTGCCGTAAGCACTCAGCAAACTATCCTTGGCTCCCCCCAGGTTCCCTGTGTTGAGTGTGGCTCATACCCCTCAAGGACGGGTCGTAAACAAAGGGTGGCTCTTGCTTTAGCGCCCAGTACACTCGTCTTTAAAGCCTGCACCAATTACAATGACGGACGGCGGGCCGTTGTCTAAATAACGCTCTCACCTGAAAGCCGCGCACATTCGTCTGAAAAGCGAGCACTAATTATGTAAAAGGATGGCAGCTTATTTTCAAAATAAGGCTCTCGCCGCAGCGCCGCGCGCATTCGTACTTCAAGCTTGCAACAGCTATCAGGATAGCGAGAGGACGGCTCCTTTTCAAATTAGGGCTCACCTGAGACTGCCTCAAGCATCAACAGGTGCACAATCGCGTGAACGCTGCACGGGTGCTCTGCCCTGAGACTCCATCGACCACACACAACGAGCGTAAAGGTTGTGCAGCAGGCGCACGGATTCAGGGGGGTGCGCCTCTTCGGAGCGGAGCGCTGCTCGCCAGGGCAGTTCGTCACACGGAACGGCCAGAAGCTCGCACGGGAACGAGCTCTGCGCGGGCGGAGGGCGGTTCCCATGCAAGGGGAGGGGCTCGCGCCGGAGACTTCCCCGATCCGAGCGGCTAGAGCTGTGGCGTGCCCAGCGGTCACTTCCACGGACGGGGGGCGGCTCCCGCTCGAACCGGGGGGGTCCTGCTGGACACCTCTCGTTGGGCCTTCTGACGACGGAAGAAGCGGAGAAGGAGGAGGAGGCGCAGGAGGGGGTGGAGGAGGAGGGGGTGGAGGAGGAGAGGGTGGAGGAGGAGGAGAAGGAAGAGGAGGGCAAGGAGGAGGCGAAGGCGAAGGAGGAGAAGGAAGAGGAGAGGGAAGAGGAGAAGGAAGGGGAGGCAGTCCTCTCCTCCTGCCCTGTCGCTGTCCTGGAAGCTCGCTGGAAGGATGCAAAGAGCGGCTCCTCTGCAGGCACGCAGGGGGGCTCGTCTTGCGACGGGGTCGCTGCTTGCAGTGCAGGGGCTCCTCTTGGCCCATCTTGGCCCATCTTGAGTTTACTAGGTTCCTCCTCCCCCTATTCCTTATTCTCTACGTTGGACGAAAGTTGGCGTGCTAGAGACTTCGCATCTTGGTGGCAGCGATGCGAGAAAAACTGTCAGCGGCGCAGCGATCAACTGAATGAAGGTCAGGCCCCTGTGAAGTATCCTCTTACTCCTCCTCTTTTTCCTCTCTCTTCCTATCCCACGTGTTCTCCGAGGGGGTTCCACAACAGCTGGTGTGGCATACAGCTCGATAGCCTTGACCAGACGTTGGTCCAACGCTTAGACACATAGGCGCTTCCAAAGCGGTGGTTCGCCGAAAGCGTTTCGATAAAGTACGTAAGCAAAGAGATCCGCCAGATTCCTCGGCACACTCAAGCAAACCGACTGGTCGTTCTATGTTTTCCAGGCGTCTGACAAAAAAAATGTCCAAGTAGCACTCGACAAACACATCATGAACGCGAAACCTCATGATATTGCAATACGCTGCTCCAAGACAAACTGCCTTTTGGTCAGACGGCTCACAAATACGAACAACAACCACAACAACATGCAGGTGGGCTTCCGCAACAAGCTAACGCATAACAAGAAACAACTGCATAAACATAAACTTTCGAAGCTCGGCGCAGATGTTTTTGACCGGCGCTTGGCCCGCGCTTCAGGGGCGGCGCCAAAGGCCCCACCAAAGTGGACCCACCGCAGATCCAAAACAAAAAATGCGCAGAACTCGAAAAAGTATGCTCATGCAGTTGGTCTTCTTCGACAACAGCACCGTTTTGGCCGACTGGCTCAGCACAGTGGGCGGTCAGAGAGAAGAGCAGGCTGATCGGAGACGCGGCTTGGTCGCGAGATGATCAGAAGCGCAGCTTCGTCTTCTGCGCCGTTCGCCTGCACACCTCGGCTTCTGCTGCACACCACACATGAAGGGCATCGATAGGGGGACTGGTGGAAAGGAGGCGATCAGGCCCCGATCGGCGATGAATGGGCGATTGGGGTCGATGCGTCCCCCCCCCGAGCCTAACTACCCTCCCGATCGTTGCCCCTGAAAGCAGCAGCAGCACGAGGGGAGAGAGGGAATGTCAAGAGGATGAGCACTTGCAATCTCTGCGGCCCTGAGCGGTCGCTGCCCTCCGACAGCGCAAGTCGCGCGACATCGTCCAGCTCCAAGTCGCTGGCGGTGCTCAACCTTGACCGCCCGAGCTGAGGCCGCCGCCGCGTCAGCGCGCCACGACCTCGCAGCACTCGAGATCAAACGTGCTGGGCCCGGCGGCGTCCAGGCAAGGCCCCCCGATGAAGGCACGGCCGCTGCGCACCGAGAAGCGGCAGCCCCCCAGGGGTCGCGGGGCCGCACTGTCGGAGAAAGGGTTGCAGGTAGACAAACACACATATATATATATATATATATATATATATACATATATATGCATATAAATGTATACATACATACATACATACATACATACATACATACATACATACATACATACAGACAGACAGACAGACAGACAGACAGACAGACAGACAGACAGACAGACATATATACATATATAACATAATATACAAAGACATTGCATGCACACATAGCATACATCACATACATACATACATCTATACATACATACCATACATACATTCTACATACAACGTTACTACATACATATTACATACATACATACTACATCCATACATACATCATACTCATACTACATGACATAAAGACATAAATGCTGCTACATACATACATACATACATACATCCATAATACATACCCACACCCAGCATGCATGCAGCATGCCTCAATGCATACATCCTACCATACACAAACCATGCGTGCACGCAATATATACATATATAAATTTTACATATTCTAATATTATATATATAA